CTTTTGTTTCTGTTGTTATTGAGGTCCAACTTTAACCCATTGTGATCTGATAAGATACAGGGGTGTCTTAGGGTTTTTATTGCTGTGAAGAGATACCATGACCGTGGCAATTCTCTTAAGGAAAACATAATTTAGGGGGCTTGTTTACAGCTTCAGGTTCAGTTCATTACCATCATGACAGGGAGCATGGTGGCATGCAGGCAGACATGGTACTGGAGGAGTAGCTGAGAGTCCTACATCTTTCAGCGAACAGGAAGTCAACTAACAGACTGGGTGGTATCCCCATACTATGAGCCTTAGGCTTCATCTTCCTGTTTACAGTTGGAGGGTTAACCGGAATTATTCTATTGAACTCCTCCCTCGACATTATCCTCCTTATACCTATTATGTAGTCACCCACTTCCATTACATTCTGTCAGTAGGAGCTGTATTTGCTATCATAGCTGGTTTCATCCACTGATTCCCCTTATTTACAGGTTATTCCCTTACTGAGCATAGCCCACCTCTGCAGTGACACAGTTCCTCCAATAAGGCCATTCCTACTCCAACAAAGTCACACCTCCTAATAATGCCACTCCCTATGAAATTATGAGGGCCAATTATATTCAAACTACCACAAAGGGGTGGGTATTTCAGTTTTCTTGTATCTGTTGAGACTTGCTTTCTAACTGAGTATGTGGTTAATTTTGGAATGTTCCATAAGGTGCTGAGAAGAAAGTATATTCATTTGTGTTTGGGTGAAATGTTCTGTACCTATCTGTTAGGTTCATTTGAATCATAACTTCTATTAGCTCCAGTAGTTCTCTGCTTAGTTTTTGTCTGGATTATCTGTCCTTTGGTGAGAATGGGATATTGAAGTCTCCCACTATCAATGTATGAACATCAATGTGTGATTTAAGGTTTAGTAGTGTTTCTTTTATAATCATGGGTGCCCTTGTGTTTGGTGCAGGGTGTTGATAATTGTGATGTCATCCTGATGGATTTTTCCTTTAATGAGTATGAATTATCCTTCCCTGTCTCTTTTGATTAATTTTTGTCAGAAGTTTATTTTCTTAGATATTAGAATAGCTACTCCAGCTTGCTTATTTCTAACTCTTTACTCTGAGTTAATGTCTATCTTTGATGTTGAGGTGTTTTTTTTTTTTTTTTTTTTTTTTTTTTTTTTATCCAGCAGAAGGATGGATCCTTGTTCTATTACGCTGTGTCTTTTTACTGGGGAATTGAGTCCATGGATATTGAAAGATATCAATTACCAATGATTATTAATTTCTGTTATTTTGTTGTGTTGTTGATGGTGGTAGTATGTATGTGGGGGTGTTTTCCTTCTTTTGGTTATGCTAGTGTGAAATTATTGCCTATGTTTTTGTGGATGTAGTTAAGCCCTTTGGGTTGGAGTTTTCCTTTTAGTACCTTTCTGTAGGGCTGGATTTATAAAAGAGGTATTGTTTAATTTTGACTTCATCATGGAATATCCTGTTTTCTGCATCTATGGTGATTGAAAGTTTTACTGGGCACAGTAGTCTGTGCTGGCATTTGTGATCTCTTAGAGTCTACAGCACATCTGCCTAGACCCCTTCTGGCTTTTAGAGTCTTCACTGAGAAGTCAGTTGTAATTCTAATAGGTCTGCCCTCAAATGTTATTTGGCCTTTTTCTCTTGCAGATTTTAATATTCTTTCTTAGTTGTATGTGTTTAGTATTTTGATTATTATGTGGAGAGGGATCTTTCTTTTCTGGTCTAATCTATTTCATGTTCTGGAAGCTTCTTGTATCTTTATAGGCATGTCTTTCTTTAGGTTAGGAAATTTTTCTTTTATAATTTTGTTAAAAATATTTTCTGGGTCTTTGGGCCAGGAATCTTATCTTTCTTCCATTCCTATTATTTGTAGGTTTAGTCTTTTCATAGTGTTCCAAATTTACTGGATGTTTTGTGTCAGAAATTTTTTAGATTTAACATTTTTGACTGATGAATCTATTTCTTCTATCGTATCTTCAACCCTGAGATTCTTTCTTCCATCTCTTATATTCTGTTGGTGATGCTTGTGTCTGTAGTTCCTGTTTGTTTATCTTGATTTTTTACTTCCAGGATTACCTCAGTTTGTGTTTTCTTTATTTCTTCCATTTCCATTTTCAGATCTTGAACAGTTTAATTCATTTCCTTCATCTGTTTGCTTTTCCTTGGCTTTCCTGACATTCTTTAAAAGATTTATTGGTTTCCTATTTTTCACTGTCTTTTCTTCGATTTGTTCAAAGGATTTGTTCATTTCATCTTTAAGGGCCTTTATCATCATCATAATGTTGGTTTTAAGGTCATTTTTTGGTGCTTCAACTGCGTTGGAATATCCAGGGCTTGATGTAGTGGGATGGCTAGGTTTTGGTTGTGAATATTGCCCTTGCTATTATTGGTTGTGTTCTTACACTGATGTTTAGATGTTTAGGCATCTGGGTTTTTAGTGATTATAGGTCTAGGTGCCAATTTCTGGATTTGTCTTTGTTGGGTGTGCATTTTCTTCCTTGGCTTCTGTTCCTCTCTGGTCTTCTGGCTGTCATGGCCTGTGGTTGACTAAAAGGTGTCTGCCTGCACTTGGGAGACTGAACTTCTAGTGGCCTGATGGCCTCTGGCCCAGCAGGGGTTTGCTGCCCAAGTTTGGGGCTGGAGTTCTTTCTATGTGCATTGCCTCTGATCTGGCCTGGGGTCCTCTGGAGTTCAGGATGCTGGCCTGGCTTCTGGTGGGGTTGGAGGCTTCTGCCTGGGTACCAAGGAGTTGGCCTTGTCTCTGGGGTTCAGGATGCTGACCTGGCCTCTGGAGTAGGAGATTTCTCCAAGAGGTGTGCTTCTGCTGGTAGGCTTTTCTTCAGACATGTTCGATGACCTGGGATGGATGTGTGAAGTGGGTACCATGAAGAAATTTTGACTACCTGTTGTCATTTAAACAAGTGGCCCCAGATGGTTGTTTTTATAAAGTTTCAATGGTTTACATCAACAGTTTTACAGGTCAGTTTTGCTTCCCAAGTTTCTAAAAATGGTTACAATAATTACCAGTTTATTCCTTTTTTATCTCTTTTTTATCTCCCAACTCTCCCACTGATAGCCATTACTTTTTTTTTTTTTTTTGGTGTATATCTCTACTGTTCAAAGCATAAGAGTCTTGCAAGCTACAAAGGGACTTTTCTGACTAGGTACATCTGTAGGTAGAAGAGTGTGCCCAATTGGAAGCATATGCAGTTACAGCATCATACAGGATGCGAGACAGTTTTGTCTCTTCTGGTTAATATTTTCATCTGGTCGAGTCTGGGTTCTCACAATCAACTCATCAGCTATTCTACATTCTCTACTACTCTATCTCCTCAGGAGATATACCAGGGGTTTCCATTTATCCTGTAGACAGCATAACTTGGAAACTTACAGTGGGCACTGTCCATCCCTTGTTTATGTTCATCGCCTTTAACTTCTTGGAGTGTTGGCACAGCTATTAGAAATTAAGGAACTGTGGGTTTCTATGATTCTGCTTCATTCTCTGCTCCTAGACTGTTCCCATTAACTCCCGAAGTCATCTATTTAACAATGTTTCTCAAAGACTATTGTGGTTAAAATCATTCTTTCCAGAACAGTCCTGCAAATATGCACTATTAAACTTCATGACCTACTGTGACTCAAGCCAGCAGTGTGGCTAGCATGGTGAAAGCAAGGAGAGCACATAGCACACACACTCCCGGTGCCATGCCCAGAATCAGGCAGCAAATACCCACAGGTCTTGGCCAGTGAGTCAGGTTCTCCAGGGTCTTGCCACAAGCAGAGCTGTTGGTGCTATTCTTAGGCCTTGTCCCCCTGAGGAAGTCACATGGCTCCTGCCATGGACTGGATAAGGTAACAAGAAGAGGGGCACGTGGACACTTGGAGTTATACTGGGGTGGGGGGTGCAGGCAGGGCAGAGGTGGTGGGTGGTGGCTTACCTAGTTTTCAGGGAGCTGGCCTGGCCTCTTATGGGGTTGTGGTATGGGCAGGGATATAGTGATGGGGAGAAGTGTGGGCAGGGATATGGTGATGGGGAGAGGTGTGGGCAGAGATACGGTGATGGGAAAAGGATGAGCAGTTGGAGTTACGCTGGCTGAGTGTGGGTGGGGTGAGGGGCAGCCTTACCTGGGGTTCAGGATGCTGGCCTGGCCTCTGGTGGAAGAGGAGACTTCAGCTAGAGCAGTGAGCTAGGACAGGGTGATAAGGAGAGGAGGGGGCATTTGGGCACTTGGGGTTATGCTGGGTGGACTCCAGCAGGGAATGCTCTTAATGATGGTATTTACAGAATTCTTTCTCATCTCTGTATATGATTCCCTGGAGCATCTTTTGTAATTCTGATCCAGTGGCCATGAGTTCCTCCAACAAGGTCATACCTCCTAATAGTGTCACTGCCTATGAGTGATTATGGGAATATGGGGTTATGGGGGCCACTTACATTCAAACTACCACACTCCTATTCCCCTCTCTGCCTCCTTAAATACTATTCTCCCTCTTGTGGTCTCTGTTCTAGATTTTTTGCCCCATACCACCACCACTACCACACATACACCACACACACACACACACACACACACACACACACACACACACACACCCCACATACACCACACACACACCAGTTCTTTAGCTGGTTATAATGATATGTGTCTATAATCCCAGCACACAAGAGACCAAGGCAAAATTGTGAATTTAAATCCAGCTCAGGCTATATACTGAGTCAGTCTTTTGATACATAATACATACATACACATATATACAGTATTTGGTATGTTTGTTTTAATGAAGTTTGTAGTACTTAATAAAAAAATACTCTCATAGAAATCTACTTGCATGCTAAAAATGTAATTGAATATATGTAATTACTATATTTTTTATTTTATCTTACCATTTCCTACTCTTCAGTTGTCTTTGCTGATTTTTTTTTAACTATACCATTCCTTAAGTTACACATTTTATGTAATTGTTAATTGTTTGAATTTTTCATAGGCTGAATCTTCAAGATGAATTGGATGAGCTTAAAGTACATATGTCTATTGATAAAACAACAATACACGAATTGAATAGGTGCATGGCAGAGAAAAGAGAAGGTAAGCTTTTAATTAAAATAAATCTTTAGCATTATTAAATTCTCAAGTTTTTGTTTCAATTTAAGAATCTTACTTAGTTTCTCCCTTTTGTACCCTGTTATTGATTTATAACACATGCAATTTTTATGTCTCATGAGAAAATCAAATACAGTGAACTCCTAAATATTCCATTTCAAACAGGCTCACAATTTTTTAAAACTTTTAAATGGTTCCTGAGAGATGGCTGAGCTGCTAAAGCTGTTGCTGCATAGTCCTGATGAGCTGAGTTCAACCCCAGCTCCCCAGTAAAGTTTGGGGAAGAGTCCTGCGTCTAGGACCATGACCCCTGACTTGCCTCTCTCTCTATCCTTTCCTCTCTCTCTCCCCTCTTTCTTTTAATATAAAAACATAAAATAATATTTGATAAGGATAAAATAACTATTATATTGTTCATTCATGAAGTTTTCCTAGTTAGACTTGCTCACAATTTTATAATTGATTTAATAGTGATTCATTCATGTTTTCTTTTGTTATTACAAGATTTTGAAAGTACTTAGTTCTCTCTAACTTTGTAGGGCCACAAACTTAAACCTAGAGGGAAGCTTTGTTCGAGTGTGTGACCACTGTGACCAACTGTCTCATGATAGGGAATGCACCCATGGTACCAGTGTAAGATTGTTCCTATGTTAAAAGTGAAGATGATTGCATTTACTGTGAAACCTCAATATCTTTGTAGAAGACGCGAATCAGGTTAAGATGACAAGATCCTTCCAACTTCTGCCAGCCAGCCGTTGTCTCCACACCTAGTGATTGATTTAATGAACTCTTCCTCTAGCTTTTATTAATCATTATTAATCATTATTACTGGCTCAGTCTTAAATATGTTGTTACTGATTTACCAAAGCCAATATTTTAACATTTCTATTTTACACTTTTAGTTTTCATCAAAATATGAATTTACTCCTTCATTGGCTTCTGAAACATGGCTTTTTGTTTTCATATTTCTTCTCTTGCCAGGATCTTTTCTCTTTCTTCTAGTGAAACATATTCCCTCTTCTTCCTTAACAATTTGGACTCTGAACAGTCTTATTGTTTTATTGTTAAAAGTAACTGTATTATTTTGAAAACAGAAATGTATATAGGTGAATATTCCAGCAATGAGAAAGGAACAAATTAAGACAGAAAAGGAAATATTGTAAGTTCACAGTTCCAAGTCAACATCTTACACATTGCACGTTGATTTCTTGTACCCTGGGGCTTACCGTAGCATTGTTCACAGTAGCTTAGTTATGGTGCCAGCCTGAGTACCCCGCATCAGAGGACGAAGTGCACAAGTGTGGTATGTGTGCACAATGGGTTTGTTTTCAGACCTAAGAATGAAGTCATGCTGTTTTCAGGAACACAGGAGAAATGAGATAATATTAAGTAAATTAGGCCAGTCTTAGACAAATACCATGTTTTTATTCATTTGTGGCTCTGTATTTTATATACATGTGTTTGTGACATGTATGTAGAAGTAACACTGTCTGGGGGGACAAAGGGGACTAACAGAAGTAGGAATCAGTAACAACAGAGAGAGAGAAAGGAATTTATGAAGGGACTATGCTGAACATATATACTTAGATCAGAAAAATTGGTTGGCCCCTCCCATAAGTTCTGCTTTTGTCTTGTCTTGTTATATCTGGTTTGGTATGGATTGACTGTTGTCTCTTGAAGGCCTGCTCTTTTATGAAGAGGAAATGGAGATGGGTGGATCTGGGGAAGAGGAGAGGTGGAGGGGAGCTAGGAGTAGTGGAGGGAGGGGAAAATATGGTTGGAATGTATTATATGAGAGAAGAATCTTTTCAATTTAAAAAAAAGAAAAGGAGAAAAAATAAACAGAAAGAAAATAATACGGTAGAGTTAAGGAATGTATTCAAGAGTAGCAATAGCAAATAGTGGAAGAGCCAGTTAATGAATAATTTGATTTGAAAAAAGTATTTGTGACACTGAGAATAAGTAAACTGGCAAAATAAAATTATCATGTTAAATCTGACTGAACTGAAGGTGGATTCAGTCAGGCTAACTAAAAGGAATAAAAGCTATGTGCACTAAAATGTATCACAGAAAAATACATGTTTGATTACTAAAATAGACACACAAAATGCAATTGGTTATTTTCTACTAAATTAAAGCCTTGTAGTATTTTTGTTTCTTTTGAATCAAATTATGTATGAAGAAAAAAATCAGTAAAAATATACCTGTCATTTCTTTATAAATAAAAGTCCAAAGAATAGAAGAAATAAGGTAAGTTTTTATGATGTTAGCCATTGATACCCTTAGGATAGTGCAAAAATGAACATGCTCAATTTCAAGAGTAAAGTTGTTTATTTCATTGGCTGAATGCAGTTTGCATTAACACTTTTCCATGTTTTTATTGAGGGTCAATAAAGTGTATTACATCACTAAATACTGTAAAAATACAACCTATTGAATGCTGAATGACTTTATATTTAATACCATATAATAGCAAATTCATTTTATAAAATAATAACACTAATTTAGGATGGTTAGCAGTTGTATTTTGCTATTAAATATTTCAAATACAACTAGTGGAAATCAAATTAAAAATCTAAACAATGTTCACAGTTTATCAAAAACAAATGTAAATGTATTGTAACATTAATAATTAAATGTTAAAATGGGAAAATTAGAACCATTATGATAGGTCTTTAAAATAATGTTACTATAGTGAAATAAGAATATAAAAGAATAGTAAGAATAATAAACAGTAAAAAGTTGCAGAGTAATTTAGATTAATTATTCAGTGGAATGTTAAAGCTTAGAAAATAATAGCCCAAACTAATGACACTTTGACATGAGACAGAGTCTTTCAGTGCAGACCCGGCTGACCTGGAACTCAGAATCTTTATTTTCTACCTGTCCCCCCCCCTGAGTTCTGAGCACCCTATACCCCAGCTATACTGAAAAATTTGAAATAAGGGAAACTGGGGAGCCTTTCAGCTGCATTAGACCCTAGATATTTCTGACCTTCCTTTGCATATTGTTATTAGGCTCAGGGTGCCATGTGGATTTCCTTATTCTGACTTGGAGCCCCTCACTGAAAATCTCATTAACCAAGGATTAACTCATAGAAAAGCAGGTTGAAAGGTATTTGACAAGTCTCTTTAAAGACAACACCTGCTCTGATGACTCTAGGACATGGAAAGACAACCTTTGTGTTACTGCAGTCTCTGTGTTCACCTCTGTCCCAGGGGTTATCTGTGCCTCAGGCCCATTCAGTTTCCCTAAAGATCATTTTATACCCCTAAAAAATGTCTTCAGTTCCCTGCTCCATCTCCCTCTTCCTCTTCTCTTGGTGAGGGTACTGAAGCTTGGACCATCTGGCCCTTCTGTAGTTTTCATAGTTTGTGTGGCAGTCATTTCCCCCTACAAATCTCCATTTATTTCAGTGGGTTCCAAGAAAGAGGGAGAAAAACCCTTTACCTCCATGGTAAACCAGGAAGTTAAAAGGAAAGGAAGCAAAAAATAAAATAAAACAAAATATTAACAAACTATTAACAAAGTTAGTATTTAAAAACAGAAAAAGAAATTTCTGAGAAAGTAAGAACATAAATCCAGAAGAATTTTAATGCTAGTAAAAAATCAATCATTTAAACCATGTGGTCAAATAAATCTCTTACAGAATGGAGAGAGAGAGAGAGAGAGAGAGAGAGAGAGAGAGAGAGAGAGAGAGAGAGAATGCCATTTTCTTAACTAGATGCTCTTGCCTCAGTTCCTACATCCTGAGATCTTTTACCAAAGTGCCTAAGAGTATATTCCTTGTTTCATTCCATAGTCTGAGCCTAACTGCTTCAGTATTTTTATAGATGCTATAGAGCAAGAAAAAAATCTTTCTGGGCAACATCCACAGGTGAACACGCTCAGCTATTCTGTCCAGTATTCCTTGCATATACCAAGACCAAATATGCAGCAAGGAAATGCTTTTAAAATCATTCTTCAGTGTTTATTTTTATTAACAATATATAGATGTTGTTAGTACTCTGTGCTATGTGAATATATTACAGTTATCTTATTTTTAAGGACAAACATTTCACTCAGAACTATAGGAGATATTTAAATGACTAGAACAGATGAATTATATTTGCATATTATTTCTATATTGCTGAAGAGTGCTGTAAATGAATTCAGCACCATGGTGTTAGGGGACTAGAAAAAGAAGCTTGGGAGCATATAGATTATTATCAAGGTAAAGTACGTATTCCCCAAGAGGCAACTTCTACCTATTCTAGCTTTTATTATTCTTATGACAGTGTTCTATTTATTTCATGAGCACAGACGTTTTAATTGAGTATGTCATGTTTCAAAGACAAAAGAAATGCCTAATTCACTCTAACAAACTTGTTAGTCACTGTTTTTATCAGGAGGATTTCTACTCTACAGAGAATAATATTGTTTTCTCTTCCTTTGTTGATAAATCAAAGTTGTACACTGACCTACAGCAGTCAGGCTTTCTTTAAAGCAAAAGGAAGCTAATACAGATGCGTACGCTCTTAGTGTTGCACATTCCTTTCTGATCCCTGCTTTGTTCTTTTAAGAACATTATACTTAAAAGACAGTTCAAGAATTCAGTAAAAAAAATGGTAACTTCATCACTGTAACCCAGGTGTAAATGAAACAGTTATAGATTTGGATGAATTTTAATATTATTGAAAAATTTATGACAGTGTTTCCCTTAACTTGGTAAATTACTTGCAGGTTTTTGTTGCACTGGGAAAGCTGTGGTAGTTAGTTGCCAGCCAGTGCTGGAGTGATTTATCAAACAACTTCACCCATGAATGTGGGCTTATTTCTTAGGAAGCCACAGCTCCTCCAGAAATGAGGCTTTTATGGTTTAACCTGACTGTGCATGGTCTTTCCCTGGAAGGAAAGGTTCTTGCACTATTAGGGTTTCAGTCTCTAATTCTGTTACTGTTTGCTTTGTTCAGTGAGCACTCTGATCCTCCTGGCAGGGAGCAGGATCAGCAGAACAAAACTAGTAATGGCTGTAGATAAAACGGCAATGAATTCTGCTTTTAAAGTAAAGGCAGAATAGTCTACAAAAGAATGAACATGGGAATGAAAGTATAGCATTGTTAACCTGCAGATCTATTGTAACTTTGAAAGTCTTCACACTGCAGGAAAAATAAAGTGATACTACAAAGGTACGTAATTATGTGACAAAAAACCCTTAAGAAAGGTCACCATTTAGTTTTGACCAAATGCTTTACAAGACAATAGACTAGATTATTCATAATTGACAAACCACACAACCTTTCCTCTTAAAATGACAGTACAGTGTTTTCGGTAATATATGATATACCATAATATATTATTTATTTGCTTCCAGAACAAGTCTTTAGACACCATGAAGATGCTGGGGTCAAGAAGAGTACTCCAGAGAAGAATGAGAAAGCAATACCAGAGCAGACATTGCAGAAGGTACTCTAATCTCTAAGATATTGAGCTGAGCAAGTTAAATCGGAATTTTACCATAAAGGATTATATTTTAAAATGAGGGCTCATGAACTTAAACCTTGTGTGAATCCTTAATTTAAATTCATAATTCAAAATCATTGGCTTGCCAAAATGGGGTAAAAGAAATCAATGTAAGAAAAATAAATGTGTAAATACTTGTGCTTCCTTGGACATAGATTAAAAATATTTTTAGAGATGGAGGGGAGAAAATGAAAAGTAGGAAAGTTAACAAAATGTAGAATATATGTGCTTATTAGTTATAAGTGAACAGTTCAAGTTACAAAGGGACCAGGAGACCTTGCCCTTCTGCAATAGGCATAGACTGCTTTTTTATTATCGCTCTGCCACAGTACAATGGCAGTATCTCTATGCTTTAAACTATGTGTGACTTGTTGTCAATAAAATTTAGCCTGTGAGTTATTGTAGTTTTCTGTATTTCAACAGGACAGTGCATGTCAACCTGTAGTCACAAATACAGCACTGCTATCATGGATAGAACAATGCTACCTTCAAATTTTAGCATTCATCTAAATTTATTTCTTTTTAGGAAATATATTATCAGGTTCAATGAAATGGTTTCAAGTGTATGAACACTTACTGGCAATATTACTGAAAATTTACCTTTAAATAAAATATATTTTGACTGTTATCTAGCTACTTTGGATTAGTTTTGGGTTTTACTAAAGAGTCAATTCATAAACAAAACTGGAAATGTAAACATATATGAACAACTCACTTTACTACCTTTATGTCTTGTACCTGTGGATAGACTTGTAGGGACTTTTCATGAACTTCTTGCCACTGTCCTATAACAAAGGATGTCACGTCAGTACTACTGAGTGACACATGCCAGGTTAATGTCATAAGTGAGAGAATGAGAGAGGCTCACATTCATTCATCTTGAAAAAGGCTGAAAAACTGATGCCATCAGTGTACCATCAGCTGGGATATTTTACACTTTGTACTGATGTACCAGCTTTGATTCAAAATAGTATTTTTCTTGGCTGTTTTGTATAACTTTGTATAGATTCCTATTCTGTAACTATTCTTCTAGAAGAGAAAGCCTATAGAAACTGATTTCTACCTACCCTCTACAACTGACAACTAATGTTACAGGTACAGAAATGCATTTAGGCCCAGAAAAATAACAATAATTATTTTCATTGGACTGGAATCAAATTAGCATATTAATTTCTTACTTTTTAATATTAGCTTTATACAGTTGTCAGTCATCTTTTGAAAATTTCAAGGCTAAATTTATTACTTTTCACTAATTAAAGTTTATATTATATGGCATTAAGGATTAAATTTAGGGTCTCACACATGCTAGGCAAGTTATCTAGCACCAACAATTTGCCCAGTCATATATATAATACATATAGTATAGTTTTCTGTGTTTTTTTTTTTTTTGGTTTTTCGAGACAGGGTTTCTCTGTGTAGCTTTGCGCCTTTCCTGGAGCTCACTTGGTAGCCCAGGCTGGCCTCGAACTCACAGAGATCCGCCTGGCTCTGCCTCCCGAGTGCTGGGATTAAAGGCGTGCGCCACCAACGCCCGGCAGTTTTCTGTGTTTTAATAGAATAGTCTATGTCGACCTGTAGTCACAGTACAGCAGTACTATCATTGATAATAAAATACTGCTTTCAAATTTTAGCATTTGTCTCAATTTATTTCTTTTTACAAAATATATTATCAGGTTCAATGAAATGGTTTCAAGTGTGTAAATATATATGTCTAGATTCACATATATATGTAAGTGTATAGACACACACACACATACACATATACTTTTTATTTTGATACAGGGTCTTTTAATTTGCACGGGCTGGGTTTGAACTCACCCTGTTGCCCAGGCTGGCCTTGAGCTTGCAGCCTTCTGTCTTTCATGTCCTGAGTAGCCTCCCACTTCAGATCAGATCCATCTGAATTTCCTTCTTACATGTGCGTATTCCTATGTGTGTGGTGTGGTGTGTGCATATGCATACTTGTGGAGATCTGAGACCACCTCAGGCACAATCCACCTTTTGGGTTCTTTTTGAGATGGGGTCTCTTACTAACCTGGAATTTACTCACCTGTCAAGTAAGCTAGGCTAGCTGGTCAGTTAGATGCAGGAGTCCATCCGTCTTTGCCTCCTCAGCTCTAGAACACCCTGACTTTTGGGATGTAAATTCTGGGAATCAAACTCAGACCTTCCTGCTAGAGGTAAGTACTTGACTGACCACAAAGACATGTTACTGAAAGGAGTGAATGAAAGGCTTCAGTGACATGTCTCTCCTAGAGTCCGTAATGTATGCACTGCCGTGATCTCTAGGTTTAGTTTAAAATGGAAGGTGTGAATTAATCAGTCCTGGTCAAGGTGTGGTCCTCCCATTATGTCAGCTCACAACCATCATCAAGGAGGTCCAAAAAGTGTTAAATTGTTAGTCTGTTACTCCCTGAGAATGCAGCCTTTTGAAATCGTGGAATGCTGTCCTCAGTTGGAGGTGTAGAGTTATCTGAAGCTGTGGCTCTTTGTGGAATTCCAGATGATTCTGTGGGTAAGATTAGAGAGAGTAACTCCTCTGTCTCTTGAGCCAACACAGAAATGCAAACGAAGGCTGCCATCTCTTCTTCTTCCAGTGTCTCTGGGCTCATGTGGAGAGGCAGTGCTTGGTTGCAAAAGCAGTGGAGTTTCTGTTTAGTTACACTCATCAAACCATATTGAAAAATAGTAAAAAGTTATTTCTCAAATAACAGCTCATGATTTTTCAAGTTCTAAATCCGAGCTTGCTTCCGTAAGAGTTACAGATGTTTAGACCTACAGCATTTACATCCTATCATATGTTACTTTAAGATGTGTAAGTGTGTGTCTTCCCAATGGCTGTTGATTCATAGGGCCTGGAGTGTATTTGAACATCACTGTGTACTACAACAGGAGCAATATTTATTGGTATCAGTGGAAATGTTTTATTTATAAGCAACCTTCTTAAAATTTTAGATTGTTGAACATTATTTTTTTGAAAAATATTTTATTGTATGAAATAAGGATCACATGAGAATTAAAATGGTACTTTTCTAATTTAGAAATGAAGCTGTTACAGGTTATTTATTTTGTCATCACTTTCTAATATGTTTGTCAAGTGTTTAGTAATAGTTTCTCCATGAACCTATTTTAAAGCTATTTCTATAAACAGTTTATTTTTCTGAAACTATTTCTTTTCACCAAAGCACCTACAGTCTTAGAGAACTCTGCAGCTCATTGACATCCGTAGTTCTGTATCACTTTACAGAGGATTTTAACTTCTTTTACCATCTGTCCTTTATCCAGCAGATGCATTATTGCATTTCTGAATGTATTCATCTACATCACCTTAGAATTATTTAGAAATTAAGTGCTTTAGATTCATTTTGTCCTTGTGCTAAATGTAACTTTCTTTCATCAGTTAGAAATGATATGAAGTAGATTATGGTTTTAAATTTTAAAGGAATAAATTAAACTTCCTTGCTTAGGTCATTGAGTTGGAAGATCGGCTAAAGTCTTTTGAGAAAAAGTCAAGAAAATTAAAAGAGGGGAATAAGAAATTAAAGAAAGAAAATGATTTCCTGAAATCCCAGTTAAAGCACTATCAAGAAGATTCCGAGGTGAGAGAAAGAGAGCTAGAGCACCTTCTGAAGGTGAGTAAAGATGTAGAAGACGACAGAGGTGAACTTGAGAGCAAAATCACTGAGCTGGAGAGGGAAGTCACCACCCTGAGGAAACAGGTGGCAGACACTAAGGCTTTGAGAAATGAAAAGGAAGAGGTGGTGAGTCCAGGGCAGAAAGTGCACCATCCCACAGACCAAGCTAAATGTGCAATGGCCACCGCAGATGGGAGAGCCCGGCAGTGTGACTGCAAGACAACCACTACCAAGGTGAAATTGAAAGCTGCCAAGAGAAAGATCTCTGTGGGTCGCCACCACACTGTTCTCAATCACTCCATCAAGGTTATGAGCCACTTTGAGAACCTCAGCAAGGACGGCTGGGAAGATGTGAGTGAAGGCAGGTAAGGCTCTCATTAACTTAGCTCTGTGGTGGGGACAGTGTGCATATGTAAAGCACTGGCAAATGGAGATTGAATTTCAACTACTGTCGATTTGGTATTCAGAAAAAATACTGTCAGAGCCTTTGAAATATCTTGGGAGGTCTTGTTCTGAGCTTATTGACTGAAATTTGCATGCAAAATTAGCCACAACTGCATGAGTATTTGAATAGGTGCCAGGAAACCCAAAAGAAGGCAATGCTTGATTTCTTCCAGTGATGCTATTTTCATGCAGTCATGAGGCTTGAAATTGACAGTTTGGCAGGTTGATTTAATTTGCTGGCCCTTTGCATATTCACCACTGACAGCTAAGGATTCCCAGGCAAGCCTACTAAGTCGGTTTAGTTATCTTGTGACATGCCAACCTGGGAGGAGAAACATTTTTCCCCCTTAATTTAGTTAGATAAATTTTGAATGACCCATTTCAGCTTGTTACCAGATGTCTACAAGCTGTTTAACAGCCTTTAAATTAAGAACCATCTTTACTAATTATTTCATGTGTGTATTATGGAAAGTCATTGTACAAACTTTAACTGGATGGAAGTTAAAATTTACTTAAGAGTTGTATAGATTTGTATTCTTGAGTTGTTTAGCCCCCATTGAATATCAAAAAGTGAATACCAGAAGTCTGTACATTTCCTGGTCTTACACCTGGCTGTACACTCATATATGCACTTGAATTATAGAAGCAAAGGAACAGCAGCACCTCTTATTTATACCTGTGCAATAAAGACGTTCACTCTTAGAGTTACTAACAAGTTGTCCACTTGGCAGTAGTTTTAAATTTTCTTTCTTTTTCATAATAATAGATACCTACATTGATTTACTCTAGTTTTGTTTGTTTTAAGCTCTTCTGCAGTATTCTGTTTTAGATGTGGGATGACTAGGGATATTTTTCTTAGTCACAGGAATAGAAATGAAAATGACCTTAAAACATAATGGGAACTTTTCTGTGTATTTGGGGGGGGTGTGGAGGTGTGGGGGGGGGAAGGTGATGCCTTTCCTTGCCCTCATAAGTAGCATGGCTCACATTCCTGTAGCAAAAGACATACCAGAGAAAAAGAGCACATTTATTTTTCAAAGTTTTACATGACAGTGGAAGATGAATGAAAGCCCAAAGAATTGGAGGAAAGTTTCCATTTTAATGCTTAGCTTTCATGAAAAATGGACAGGTCTATAATAAGTAGATAAGAAGACATGTAGCTATATAATGTCCAAAATAAGAGCAAAGGGCCAAGAAGGAGAGGTTCCTTGGTATCATTCTGTTCAGGTTGTTTTAAGCCTCTGCATGGCACTCCTTCCTTGGCAGAGTGAGTCTTTTATGGACTGGGGGTATTCTCTTACTGAGCATGGTAGATGAGGATATTTCATTTCCTGAGAAGCAGGCATAGGTTAGAGTAAGTTTATATTTTATGCTTGCATTGGAGGAAAGGGTCTGTATTAATTACTTTTCTATTGCTTGATAAACATCATGATCAAGGCAACTTATAGAAGAAAGAGTTTAATGCTGTTTATGCTTGCAGAGGGTTGGAATCCATTATGGCAGGGACAGCATGCCAGCTGACAGACAGCACAAAGCAGAGAGTGGATTGGAAGTGATATGAGGTTTCAACTCTCAAAGTCCACCCATAGTGACAGAACTTAATCCAGAAAGGCTGCACCACCTGAAGCTCACCAACAGTGCCACCAACCCAATACTGTGAGGGACATTTCTCATCCAAACCAGCACAAGTGATCTACTGTTTGTCATTACTTGGGTTTATGCCATTTTGCTTTGGGGGTAAATAAAGAGTAAGAAAGGCAAAAGAAACCTTGTTTCTGAGCCTGTTTCTCAGGTGTCCTAATGCTCTTTATATCAACGTTTTCCCAATGGCAAAATGGCATAGTTTGTAGAATTGTTTTCTGAGCCTGAGCAACTGTTTGCACATTATAATAACAGAGAGGTCCTAAAAAAGTTTCCAAGCTCACACATTCCAAACCAATGTTACTCTAATTTTTGAAGTGGACTAGAAGCATCAGTTTTATTTGAAGATTGTTACCTGGTTCCAATGTGCTGATAGGTTTGGAAAACGTTTTAAATGATTATAAAATGAAGTTCCTAGTCTTTAGGCAGGTAAAGAAACTATAAAGGCATGTTTATGGGCCAAGTGAAATAGCTCCTTGTGTAAAGATGCTGCTGTACCAAGCCTGATGACGTTACTGTGGGAGAAGGAGAAAACCAACTCCTGGGAACTGTCCTCTGATCATCACAGGTGCATCATGGCATGCAAGTACACATGGGTACACACACACACACACACACACACACACACACACACACAGAGAGAGAGAGAGAGAGAGA